AATCCTGCAGAACCAGCTTTATTTTAAGTAGCTGCTTTAATGGTCTATGGGGCTGGAAAGACTCTGATGGGCTGCGAGGGGCCATGGTAGAAAGGGTGGAACCACACTAGAACATCAGCATAATAGAGCTGGAAGGGACCTTGAGGTCTTCTAGTCCAACCCTCTGGTCGAGCAGGAGATCCTATACAGGTAGTCCACAACTGAGCCCAACATTTCTCAAGATGGTTGCTAAGTGAATTTTGCCCCATTTTACGACTTTTCTTGCCACAGTGATTAAATGAATCACTGGAGTTGATCAGTTAGGAACCTGGTTGTTAAGTGAATCTGGCTTCCCCATTGACTTTGCTTGTCAGAAGGTCCCAAAAGGTGATCACGTGACCTTGGGATGTTGCAACTGCCATAAATAGGAGTCAGTTGCCGAGCATCCGAATTTTGATCATAAGATCATGGGGATGCTGCAGTTGTCATACGTGTGAAAATGGTCATAAATCACTTTTTTCAGTGCAGTTGTAACTTTGATCAGTCACTAAATCAGGGGTTCCCAACCAGGGATGCTCGTACCTCCTGGGGGTGTGAGATGATATTCCAGGGGGTGCAAAAACTTGTGTTTTCAAAATTATAGTAAATATGCATAATTCATTGCCGTTGTTTTGAACTTTTGTAAGGGATGCGAGAATAGATCAGAAGCGCTCTAGGGGTGCGGAGTATAGAAAAGGCTGGGAACTGCTGCACTAAATGGACTATTTTAAGTCAAGGATTATCTGGACCATTTTGGACAAACAGATGCCCCATCCTAAGAATTTCTAGGATGATTTTTTTCAGTAGTCATACATTAGATTAGTTATGTAGCCTAGCCTAGTTAGGATTAATAGTCATACACTGGATTAATTCCAGTAGAGTCTTCCACTATGAGAATGTCTGTTTGCACTTATAGCAGAGGAAACAAAAAGTAAGCATTGAAGGACCCCATTCCTTGATATATCCCCCACCTCCTTTAAATTCCACACGGAGGAACGAGGGGCCACATGGCCTTGAATGCAGCCCAACATCCCTGGGAAAAGCATCTGGTCCCCACTTGGCATTTTGGCAGCAGTTTGATGTAAGCCCTTTTATTACCCAGCTCCAACCAAGTCCTTCTGCCAAGGATGCTAACAATATACTAATCAGCAAAGAGGTTCTGGATTGTTCAGGAGACGCGGTCCCATGCATGGTGAGTGAGGAGCGAGCAGGGAGCCAAGAGGGAAGAACGCCAAAGCGTTCTCCAAGGACCGTTTTGCTAGGCAATGCCACAGCCTTTTGCCTGCAGGTGGGAGAGAGTTTTATTTACTCCTCCGGGGTGGGGGAGATGGTGGAGAGCCTACAGAACTGGGCAGGGGCCGAGAGTAAAGAAAGATAGGCCTTTATTTTTGGTTGAGCCCTTTCGATGCGAGTAATTTTTATGGTTCCATTAACTGGTGAGATCGTTTGCGAAAGAACATTAGGAGAAGCGCCTTGGGGAGCCGTGTGTCCTATTATATGGAATGCTAATAGAATGAAAAATTAATTAAAGGGAAGCTTACAGCAGGACAGGCACACTTCCTTGCCTCTCCTTCCCTTTGTGAATGGACCTAGAAACGTGTGCTAACAGAAAAATTGACCTGGAATGGAATTGCTGATATTGACAATTTTACGGACAAGCTAGAGCTGATCTATCAAGCCTCCAACTGCTACATTTAATCAGTTGAATAGGGAATATGATCTTTTAGTCGTCTCTTGTTCTGTAGCTCATTCTCTTCCAGAAAAATGGGGGGGGGAACTGTTTTACTGATAGGGAGATTGAGGTCAATTGAACAGTGTAATTAATCCAACCAAGGTCATCACACAGAGGCATAACTTCTTGGAAATTTAAGTTCTGATTTATCTTTCTCTTGCTTCACGTCTGCGTATGCATTAACATTGATATGTTTCTTTTATTTTCACAACCCCCTGAGTCCCTTCAAGAGATCTTTAGGAACCTTCTCAAATGCTCAGGGGTAGAAAAGCAGTAATTAAATACTCAAAAGAGTTACAGACAACAGGGGATTTGACAGTAGAATTCAAGCTGCTGGTATCTGGCATATTCTAGCCATTAAATGTTCACATGGGATAACTGTGTTTTCTCACTTATTTGAATTTGCATTTCCTCCGTCTTCCATCAGGAAAGGGGGAAGGGAACACCAAAGAAATGAATATTTTGTCAGCCTTTGCAAATTTAGCCCTCAACAATTGTCTTCTATCCAATTTACCACCACAATTTTCTTTCTTGTCTGGTCATCAAAGCAAACATGAAAAGAGTAACTTTTTCAAACCAAAATAGCAGTTTATTCAGATTGGGCTCCTGATAGATGAATGTGGAATATAGAATAAAAGTTTTGGAAGGGTCCTTGGAGATCTACTACTCCAAGCCCCTGCTCAGGCAGGAGGTCATACTGGACAAATGGCCATTCAATCTTTTCTTGGAAGACCTCTAGTGATGGACCACCCACAACTTCTCTGATTTAAATTATTCTTACTATCAGGAAATTTCTCCTTAATTCTAGCTTGAGTCTCTCTTTGATAAGTTTCTATCCATTGCTTCTTGCCCTGCCCTCAGTTTCTTTGGAGAATAGGCCAACTATCTCTTTTTTAATGATAGCCCCTCAAATGTTGAAAGATGCTACCATGTCACCCCTAGTCCTTCTTTTGGTTAGACTAGACCAGGGTAGGCAACCTTGGCTCTTTTATGACTCATGGACTTCAACTCCCAGAATTCCTGAGCCAGCATAGCTGACTCAGGAATTCTGGGAGTTGAAGTCCATGAGTCATAAAAAAGCCAAGGTTGCCTACCCCTGGACTAGACATTCTGAGTTCTTCATATATTTTAGCCTCCAGTCCCCTAATCACGTTTGTTGCTCTTTTCTGCAGTCTTTCCAGCATCTCAACATCTTTTTTCTATTGTGGCAACCAAAATTGGATGCAGCATTCCAAGTGTGGTCTTAACCAAGATTTTGTAAAACGGTACTAATACTTCACGTGATCTTGATTTCATTCCTCTGTTGATGCAGCCCAGAACTGCATCCGTCTTAAATGCATAAGCTTTAATCCTTCCTCCATAATCATCAAAGACCAGCCCTCCTAAAATTTGAATTGGAAGCTCTGGGACCATGAATCTAGAGGGAGATTGCAGGAAAAGGCCAAGGATTTATTTCCTCTGTCCCCATCAGAACAAAACTTTCCACCTTTCTGATGCTGTTTTCCGAAGCCGTTCTTGCAACTTGCTAATTTCGTGAGTTGTGCTTGACTTAGCTTGGCTGGGAGGCAGTCATCAATCAAAGCAGCATAGATTTTTTTTAAGCTGGGTTTCTAATGATTTTTATTGTATATGAATATTTGTAGGCTGCCCAGAGCCCGAGGAGAAGTGGGTGGCATATAAATTTTTCAAATGAACAACCATCTTTCTGATTCTGCACAGCTTTCTCTTTGATTTCACCACTGGGCTTATATCAGCGACATGCTGTACCAAGCGTTTCTCAGCCTTGGCAACGTTAAGAGGGATGGACTTCAACTTCCAGAATTCCACAGCCTGGGAATTAAAGTTGCCAAGGTTGAGAAACACTGTGCTAAACTGTAATGGGGCAACCTTAAGTTCAGCCATGTTACACCTGCACAAGCTCGCAATTTCCTTCCAGGTACAATTCAAGGAGCTAGTTATTGCTCTTAATGCCCTCCATGGTAGAGGACCAGGTTATTTGTGGGGCCACCTGTCCCTGAGGGTATCTGGAGTCCCTGGAGGGGAGGTGGGTGGAATAAACATTAAATAAGTATCAACAAACAAATAAATAAATTTGCCTGTCCCACTAGATTGAATAGGGTGGGCATGCTCCAGACCCCTTCCTTGAAATTTTTCCATCCAGTGAACCTTGAAAGTAGACCTTTTCCATAACTGCCCTTACCTTCTAGAACACATGCAAACACACACACGCAAACACAGACACCAGTGATCCAGCAGACACTCCCTTCCCCCATCCCTTCTCCCCTTTTGGAAGGTCATCAAAACCTGGCTTTGATTCAGGTCCGAGGGCAGGTGATGGGGCCTGTGGGTGGTGGTTGGGGCATCCAGGGAGGATAATTGAGGTGCTGGGTTTCCAGTCTCTTTTTTGTGTGTTTTCCACTCCTGGTGTCAGCCAGCCAGAGTAGTGTTCAGAGATAGGGGCTATACAGGTAGCCCGTGACTTATGGCCATAATTAAATCCAAAATTTCCATTGCTAAACCACTGTTTCTCAACCTTGGCAGTTTGAAGATGTGTGGGCTTCAACAGCATAGCTGGCTGAGGAATTCTGGGAGTTGAAGTCCACAAGTATGAAAGTTGCCAAGATCTAGGCCATCTAACCACCGTCTGTATCGGTATTTCTCAACCTTGCAATTTGAAGATGTGTGGACTTCAACTCCCAGAATTCCCTAGCCAGCTATGCTGTTGAAGCCCACACATTGTCAAACTGCCACGGTTGAGAAACAGTGGTTTATATTTAAAAAATCAGATACTGCGGGCATCTGCCCTCAGCTTACAGCTGGTCACTATGTGATCTATAGTTTGATGTGGGACCTCACAGTCGCGCTGAGGGGAGGAGACCCTGCCCCATTTATACAGAGAGTACTGGCAGAAGCCGTGTGAGGTGTGAATCCTAGTCAGAATTGTCTGTTGCTGGCATGGTAGTTCAACACCTGACACCTGATTTTTGTGGGATCATTTATATGTTTTCCTATGTCTGCACCTTCAGCGACCCCTTTGGCTTTCCGCTGGGAAAGGATGTTAAAGTTGTTGAGCAGATATTGTGCAAGTGCCAGTGGGGGCTTCCTGAATTTTAAGCCTTCCGGCTAAAATTTAAATTTTAAAAAAGATAGCCAACAAGGTTGCTGGAAATTTTAATAATAGCATACACATATTATGGCAGCTTTTCTGACCTGTGATGCTGAGGTAACGCATATCTCTTTCTGTCCCTAGCTCTCTGCACTGAAGAATGTGTCCACGGACGGTGTGTGTCTCCTGACACTTGCCACTGCGAACCAGGATGGGGAGGGCCAGACTGCTCCAGCGGTAAGTTGAAGAGCAAAGTTGCCTCAGTGTCCCATAATTAAGAAATAACCTGCCTTCTGCAACAGTGTGGCTTATGCTTGAAACAAGGGAAGAGCTGTCTTCCAAGTGGACGCCCTCCGTGATAAATCCCTTTCTTAAAATGCCATGTTTCTATTTTGAGATAAGGATCATTCCAAGAAAGCTGTGGTTCTCTTACGGTTTTATTCTTAGATACTTTTCTGCAAAGTCGTTTTTTAAAAATGTCATCCCTCTGCTATTAGTCATTCATTGTTCGGCGTCCAAGCCGCTTTGCTTGGGGCTGCAGAGAAAGAGCCTGGCACACTCTGCGCTCGGGATCCATTCTAGTTTCTAGGTGGGAGGTGGAATTCTTCCTGCGAACAGAAAACGGGCGCTTGTTGCGATTGCTAAATGCAACACGGCTGGACAAAGAGGTTACAGGGGCTCATTAGCTCGTATCTGTGCCAAGATTCTGGGCGAAGCACACAGAGACACTTATTCTTCTCCTCTCCCTGTCAACCTGAATTATCCCTTTTTCCAGTAACTCTCTCACAAGCTTCTAAAACACCTTTTACCTGGGCTGAGTCCAATTCTGTGACAGCCTCGGTGAAGCACTGACCTATTTAAGGTCTCTGAACTGTGCAGGAGCTGTTTTGAAGTTTCACTTCTTGTGCTATCCGGCCTTATTTTTCTGGGGGGGGGGGAAGGTTTGTGTCTGTGTCTGTGTGTCTGTCTGTGTATTTGTAAAATTGTCTGATTCATAGCCAGCCATTTGGCTGTTTCCTATGGAAATAATCAGGGTTGTCCGCTGCATTCAAATCCTTCTTTTTGCAAAAGCCCTAATTCATGTAACACCTTCTTAATTGGCAAGTGAGTTGTACATTTGCTGGGTCCGTGACTTTATTTTTATTTTTTTTGCTAAAGCAGAAGTCTAGTGCAGCACCCAAAATCAACAGTGGTGCATTATGCAAACCGTGACGGTGTATCTGTCACTGTTATAATGAGACAAAGCTTGTTAACTCTGCTAGAACAGCCTGGTTCCAAAGGAAGGAAAAGAAAAGAGTTATTAATTCACTACCTCCTATTTGCACTATTGATCAGAAATTTTTGACAAGCACCTCCAACAAGGATGAGGATAATAGAATGATACTTCTGGGACGTTCTCCCCAGATGCTGCTCTGACCTTTTGTGGTGCTGCTCTTGGTTCAGGTTCAGTTGGGGAGGTTGGCTGAAGCCACAGCTGCAATTCAGCGTGACACATCTCCTCTCCACGTCCAGTGTGGTTGTGCAGATGGGCTTAAGATAGAGGAGGCAGAAAAGAGAATTGCAAGTGGAGGCTCTTTCTGGGAGAATCCAAAATGGCCGTAAGGAAGAAAGAAAAAGGAAGCATTTCTTACAGAATACGGAATACAGTGGTACTACGGTACTCATCATTAATTAGTTCTGGGAGACACAATGAATACCAAAAATGATGCATACCAAACACATTTTCCCCCTAAGGAACAATGTACAGGTAGTCCTCGACTTACAACAGTTCATTTAGTGACTGAAAAAAGTGACCATTGCATCCCCATGGTCTCGTGATTTACATTTGGATGCTTGACAACTGACTCGTATTTATGACTGTTGCAATGTCCTGGGATCACATGATCCCCTTTTTGTGACTGTCTCACCAGCAAAGTCAATGGGGAAGCCAGGTTCACTAAACAACGGTGTTACTAACTTAACAACTGCAGCGAGTTGCTTAGCAAATATGGCAAAAAATGTCATAAAATGGGGCAAAACTCACTTAACAAATGTCTCACTTAGCTACATAAATTCTGAGCTCAATTGTGGTTGTCAGTCGGATGTCAATGCTGTGACACTGGATGTTCCCGTTATGATCACTGAGTGAAATTGCAACCATTTTACTTTGCTTTTAACTTGCTTTCTTTGCTTATTAGGAAAACAGACCTAGAAGGGGGGTGGGGCGAATACTTGAGCTCAGCTAGCCATAACAATAGTGCAGCTTCGTGGGAACTGAAGGATGCAAACTGATAAGGTTTGGCGGATGGAGAGAATGGAGGAGAAGCCCGCCTTTTAAGTTAATTGGAGAATGTGATTTATGACTGCCTAGTTTTAGTTTGGGGTTCAACTATGTAGTGCCGATACTTTGTTTCCTGAATAAAAGGTTCTTTAAGGAAGATTCTTTGCCTTGACATCGTACAGAAGGATATAAATAATATAGAAAATAAATATATCAATCCAATCAATCAATATATAAATAAAACCTGAATACTTAGAAATGCAAGTCATGTCTGCTACTTGTGCACACCTACAGTGAACTGCATCAAATGATTTAGAAAAAGGATATTTGTAGATCCTTTTTAAAAAATTTAAAGCGAGAGGAATTTCCTTAAATACCTTAAATATCATAGCTTTTATAAGTAATTAGGAATATTAAAACACTGACAATGATGGAGGTAGAAACATTACTCATAACTGATATTTCTTTACTGGGCAACAATCCAATATATATCATTTATGAAAGGGTTGGTTTCTTTGGATTTTTTTCTGAGGATGTTCAGGAGAAGAACATTAGCCAACTAGTAAATTAACTGTTCCCTGGTAGCCTTTACAAATGAGACCTCTCATTAGTCTTGAAATCTCAGCATACTCTTTCTTATTAAACAGAATTCCTGCATTTATTGGTCTTGGAGCTTTGAAGGCCTTTTACTAGCTATACCCGAATGTTTGGGTGGGCTAAATTGGCAAGCAGAGGGTAGTAGCACTGCCCATCAGTGGTAGTAGCACTGCTATTTGAAAAAAAAAGGCCATGGTGGCTGAGGAATTCTGGGAGTTGAAGTCCACAAGTCATAAAAGGGCCAAGTTTGAAGACCCTTGCCATAGAGATTCTTTGGTTGAGCTGTTTACTGTTGGTTCTTTGGCAGTACCTGATTGTTGGTCTGATGTTAACCTTGGAGTTAATCTATGCTGATCTGGGTGCTGGTTGCTGGGGGAGAGGGGCTTGGGTCTTTTTGTTCCTTTTGGGGCTGGGGGACAGTCTCTTTTGCATAATCTGTAGATGTTGTTAATGTCTATGTGTCTATTGATGGCTGATTTGTCAGAATGCCAGGCTTCTAGAAATTCCCTGGCGTTTTTGGACTTGGCTTGGTCTAAGATGGTCACATTTCCCCAATTGAATCTATGGTTAAATCTGCCTATATGTTGTGATTGTGTTGTCTGGTTCATTTGGGTTGTTCAGAAACGGAAGGGGAGCAGGGAAATCTCGGTGTGAAAGTTTTGTGCTCACATGTTCAAATTATTTCAAAGCAATTAGCTTTTAACAGAACAGCAGGCTGGTTTCCGGCTTTCTGCAGAGAAAGGCAGATCCAGTGGGAATATTCCTCTTATAAGCAGAGGGAACTTGTGGTTAGGAATGACAGACAGACATTGATCACTCTCAGCAAAACACGTACAAACATATGTCATTGGGCACAATCTTCTGCAAGGCTCCCTTAGGTGCAATGGTAGACTTTGTTATGTGAAAAATTGTGTTGCCATGCTTGTTCTTAAGCACTGTCTAGTGATGATTGAACTAGATGGATCATCTAGGATTTGAAGTAATTAGCTGGTTTGCATAATTAACCAGCTGGGTTCATGCAAAACACTACACATTAAACCTTAAACAACCTGGATTAAAAAAATGCAATAACAGAATAACATAGAACAATACAGTCGGAAGGGACTTTGGAAGTCTTCTAGTCCAACCTCCAGCTCAAGCAGGAGACTATGCTGTTCTGGACAAATGGTTGTCCAATCTCTTGAAAACCTCCAGTGATAGAGTACCCACCACTTCTAGAGAAAAGTCATTCCACTGGTTAATTGTTCTCACTGTCAAGAAATGCCTCCTTAGTTCCATATTGGTTCTCTCCTTGATTAGTTTCTATCCATCGCTTCTTGTCCTGCCTTCAGGTGCTTTGGAGAATAGTTTACCCCCTCTTCTCTTTGACAGAAGCTCAAATATTGGAAGACTGATATCATGTCACCCCTAGTCCTTCTCTTCATTAGACTGACATACTTAGTTCCCACAAGGATATGCAGTTTTTATTATTATGGTTGATTGCATAGTCAACCAGAATCAGCCAGATGTTTAGACTGGTTGCAGCATTTTAATCCACCTATCAAGTCCTTCCCAAGGACCTGGGGTAGACAGATGTTAACATTCAACGGTGTTACAGATATCATTGTGGGATATAAGCTGTTCCAATAAAGCTGCCTCTTGCAAGTGGCAATTGATGGTGTTTTTGTAATGTCAAAAGCTTTCAAGTGGTGCTCCAGATGATCTGGGATTGTACCCAACGTACTTATTCGTACTACTGTTGCTTGTTTTTGCCACAGTTGTTCTACTTCTATTTGTAGGTCTTTGTGTTTTGTTAACTTCTCCATTTCTTCCTCTTCTATTCCACTATCTCCAGGCACTGCCACATCCAATATCCAGACATTTTGTCTTTCTTATCAAGAATTGTTAAGACTAGGGTGTTATGTGGCAGGTGCCTGTCGGTGGAATTCTAAACTCCCAGAGCAATTTAATTTTTCCGGTTTCTATTACTTTGTCTATTTTTTGGTCCCACCAATTCTTGCTTGCAGGCAAATGCTATTTCTTGAAGATAATTATTATTTCCCACTTTTTAAATTATTTGGTCAATTCAAGGTGGTGAACATGCCTAATTAGCCTGCCTCATATTTCCCCCCACAACTGTGACTTGTCCAAGTTCCCCACAATCACATCAGCTCAGCTGGATTGGGCTGAGGGAGAGGGACTGGCCCAACCAAAGTCACCCAGCCACCCATCGTGCCTAAGACTAGAACTAAGACAAGACTAGAACACATTGTCTTCTAGTTGCTAGGCCACTACACCAAATTAACTCTCCAGTTTGTATGGTTATGGGCACAATCTTGACTTTTGTGACATACACACACATACACGGAGTCCCGTGGTTGGGAAATAACCTGGATACTAT